TGGGATAGTGCCTTGTTAAACAAGTGGGATAGTATGAATATAATCAATTTGGGCAAGCAATCACTTGAATGGGAGCCCTACCATATGGATTTAATTCTTTACTCCTCTTTCTAGGCAAACTCCCCCCTTTCAAGATCATGCAATGCATATTCATGCAATAATTCACATTTAACATAATTCATAGAATGCCACATAACCAATGTCATTGAACTCCACCATTTTATGAATCATTGAACTCCTTAACCACATTTTTATTGAACTCCAAATCAAACAAGTCATTAAACTCCAAATTTCAAAATCATTATACCTCACACATTCATAATCATTAAACTTTATAAATTTCAAAATCATTGAACTCCTAGCAACTCAAATCATTAAACTCCCAATTACACAATTCATTGTACTCTATGTTTTCATAATCATTGTACCTCACTCATTGGAAATCATTGAACTCTAAAATTTCAAAATCATTGGACCATATTAAGTCACCACTTCAATAGTGGGATTTTCAAACAAAACAAGCCATATTTGCATTTTAATAAAATCTCACACAATTCAATTATTAAATATTAATCGATAAACTAATTCACATTCAAAAGTAAAAGATAGAATTTCTCTGGTTATCTCAAACCTTTAAAAGGTCAAAAATTTCACCCCTCAAATACTCACTTCCAAAGCTTCCAATAAGCTTAAATGGTGCTAATAATAGTCACTCTATAAGTATTTACAATGTAAATCATCAATATCCATATTAAGGCTAATTTTCACTAATACTTCAACACTTCTTAATGGTCAAGATTCATTCTTGACTCATGTAAAAGTACCTATAGAGTTTCTTAGCTTCTTTTGACCCTCATTAACATCATTAAGCTCTTTAATGATTAGTAATGGGGCCAAATTGTTCCCAACCAACATATTTATAAGGATTTTTAAATATTTGATGTCCTTCAACCACCAATCATCATATATTCATAAATACCACATTTACTTAGCTCAATCTACTCTTATTAATTTTATTTGAGTCAATAGGTTCAGACCTATAACATCTATGGATCAAAATCACCATTATCAACCAAACCCTAACTTCTACAATTAAGAAAATGGAAGAAGAGAGAAAGATTTAACTGTAAGAAGCTTACCTTTGATGTTTACGAGCTCTAAATTACTCCTACTAGTTGGTTTCTTCAAACCTTAGCATAGCTCTTTAGACTTTCTCTTGAAAATCTCTTCCTCTTCATTTTCGTGAGCTGCAGAATGCTTTATTTCTTCACAAAAATGTACATGCATCACGGTGGACGCACAATGCGTCGCGGCGTATGGCATAGAGAGAGCTTCTCAGGTGTTTCAACATATGTGTGCTGTAGCGCTTAATCCAGAAGTCGCATTGCGTGGCACAGAATCTTGCCCCTTCACATTTCTTCATCTTCTCATTCCCAAGTGACCTATTTCTCTATCAGACCCATGTTTAGGGTTGAAATTGAAACCAAACATGCCTATTAGGCATCTTTGGCCACACACCTCGCTAATATACTTAATTTATCTAATTGGGCTTAATTAATTTGGTTTAAAATTGAGGATATTACAAGAATACCATCAAACATTCTAATAATAGGCAAGTACTAAAAATCATCAATCCAAGCATTCAAACTTTCACTCATATTATTGTCAACTATCTATGATTGGCATCTTGTACTAAAATAAGCACTTACCCAGTATTAGGAAGGGTATGTCAGTATTGTCTCTACTACCTGCTTGCTAAGACTACTAAGTGCCTTAAGCTTGTCTTTAAACATCTCATCAAATGTACTCTAAGAGCATGTGAAAAACTTTTTCTTTAATTCTTGGCCTCTCCATCTTTTACTCTAATTTGCATAGGTGTGTCTAGCACACAATCTATGCTCTGCCTCTAGTAAAACTTTCCCAACAATCACATTTAAGCCCTACAACATCACAGAACATAATAGTTAAGGAAATATAAGCTACAAAAAATATCAATACACAGAAAATACCTTTTACATGTTAGAAACAACAATAATCTTCAAGCCATCACCAAGGTCTAAAGATTTTTGAAGCCATTGTGTAAACCAAGTCCAATTCACTATATTTTGGTTGAATAAGGTCGAAAGCAAGAAGATATAAAAAACCATTAGCATCAATCTCGGTTGCAGTGAGTAATATTCCTTGAGCATGACCTTTAAGGAAGGTTCCATTAAGGCCAATAATAGGCCTACAATCTCTTTTCCAGCCAACCTTGTAATTTTTAAACTTCAACTACTTAGATCAGAGGAATAGAATACTAATAATCAACTATAAATAACAATAGAAAAAAAGTGTAAGAAAATATTACCTTTAAAGCATTGAAGTACAAGTACATCCTACTAAACACCCTTTTCCCATTTTCCATTGCATCTTTACTAACTTCAACACTAACATTAGAACCTGGGTTACAAACTCTCAACTCATTACAATAAGCTTCAATATTGTTAAACTTGTCTTTGTAGCTACCCTCCATTTCCTTCATGATAATCCTCTTGGCATGCTTGCACTTGTGTAAGCTAACATGAAGTTTTAGCTCATCTTCCACATCCTTCTTCATGTCTGAAATCTTGTATTGTGGCCTCTCTTGAACTTTGTTCTTAAAATAAGAAGCTAACCACTTGGCTATGGCTTTCAGGTTCTTGTAAACCCTAGTGCACATATGGTCTAAGTGTAATGTCTTCACCTTTAATCTTAGGTTGGATCCATCTTTTACAATATAGATCTGAAAAGGGCAACCATTTTGACATACAGCCTTTACCCTACAAGCCTCACTCTTCCTCACCTTTACCTTAATCCTTTGAGTAATGGCATACTTATCAATGGCTGCCATAGTTTGTTCCTTATTTGCAAAGGTTAGGCCCACCATGAAAAAGGGCCTTGCATCAGGTCTATTATCTCTAGTGGGCCTCCTCACCTCCTCCAAAGGCCCATTATCATGATCCAGGCCTAATTCTATATCATCGTCTTCATCTTTATACTCATTATCCCCATCTTCCTCTTCAGATGAGGTATTATCTTTCAAACCTCAAAAATCCTCATCTCCATTGTCAGATTGTTCTTAACTGGATAGCCCATCATTTTTAGCATTATCATCAACTATAATTCCCTCACCATTATCTCTAACCTTAACTTTACCTTTAACATTATTTTTGCCATTCCTCTCCCCACCAACATCAGAAAGCCCAAGTTCATCCCAATCAATTGACACATTTTCCACATCAATTATATCTTCTTCGACCTCTTCACCTTGATTTTTCTCACCCACTTTATTTTCTTCAACTACATTCTGCTTCCCTTAATTACCCTCACCTCTTTCAAGTACCTTCTGCTTCCTATCATCATCTTCACTATCCCTTCATGTACTACTTTCACCACCTCTACCATCATTACATATTATACTTTCAACTATTGACCTATATCTACCATGTAGCTAGTCTTTGACCTCCTCCCATTCTTGTGTTCTCTTATCAATTTCTTCTAAATATTTGCTTAGAGGAATCCTTTTACCCATCTGACTCACTCAAATGTTAATACAGACAAAAAAAGTCACATACAATAAGGGCTTAGATGTGATTTCACTATGATAATGAAATGCCAAAGCATAAAATAAAATTGAATTCTTACCTAAAAAGTAAGCGACTTACTGCAACTCTGATCCTTGATGACCCATGAGATTTGATTCCTTTTATGCACTTTGCTTCTCCTTGAAATCCCTAACTCAGCAATTCGTCGCTTCTCGTCCTCCTTAAAATAGATGGCTTCAAAGTAAATGTCTTTAGGGTTCGATCCGATTATGGGTTTGGTTCACACGTGGGTTGTGATTTCATGACTATTTTTTTTAAATAAATCCAAGTCAGACAAGTTCCCAGTGCCATGTGTTGGTTTAGTCAATGAAAAACTCTTGCCACATCCCACTTCGTTGGTCAACAATAATAATTTAATAGTCAACATCGCTTAATTTTAACAGTGAGTCCACATTGCACCAATTTTGGAAGTTTGAAGGTAACATTGCACTTAGAAAAAGTTTAGGATACTGGCCATACTTGGGGCAAAAGTTCTGAGGCAAATTTGCCTTTTAACCCAATATTTTTATCACTACAATTTTAGGACTACCTTATTAGATAAGGGAATTAAATTGAATGAAAATAATATTTTTATAAACAAATTTAAAAAATTTATCTATGCTTTCACTTAATAATAATGACTTTTTGTCATGTACATGCATTGTTTTATTGGAGACTATTTTATTAAAGTTACGATATAGTGCTACTGATAAGCACATTTTTTGACAAGTATTCAATCATTAGTTTTCACATGTGAGCAATTAAATGTGAGCATTTTTCTCGATTAAAATTTGAATATTAATTTATGACTAATTCTTTCTACTAGATTTTTTTAATTTAAATAATAATAATAATATATTAATGCATGTGTTGTCTTTATTTTTCAAGGATGGGTTACATAATAAAGGGCCCAAAAAATAGCCGGGAAATTAAGCTGTCAAACATATATGATAGTTCATGGTTGCCAATAAAATTTGATAAAATTTTACTAAAAATTTGGTCTATAATTTATAAGGTTGTAATTTAAATTTTATTGCAAAAATAAGAATTTTTTTAAAAAAATTGACATATTTTGATAAAAATTTAACTTATAATTTATAAAATCATGATTCAAATTTTGTTACGAATGTGAGAATTTTTCTTCCTTATTACTAAATGTAATACGAGAACTAGTTAGTTTGTGTTGGGTTTAAGACCCAACTCACCTATTTTTTTTTTTTAACTAAAACAAATTGAGAGAATTATATACACACCCACAAAAAAATTAATTATTATAAAATATATTAATATTAATATTAATAATTAAATTACATTTTGTGCCGTTAATGACCTAAATTTAATGCATAATTAATTTTGATTTCAACATAATTCTCCCAAACAAATTCGTCGCTGCCCGTAAAGCCAAAACCACGTCGTTTCAGGTTACTTGCTGGACGTGCAGGGGAAATGGGGAGATGCCGAACGCCTCCGAGCATCAGCATTGCCATTGACGGCGGAAGCAGAAATCATCACTGAGCTGCGCGAACCTTCCGCCCAATCTGTCTTCCTCCATCGCAGCCTCTCTCTCGTTCCGGTTTCGTCTCTCTCCATCTCAGATCTTTCTTGGCTGCGCTTTCCCTCCGTCACAGTCATAGTGTGCATAACACCACAAAATCTGCAAGCATGACAATCCATTCAGTTGTGATTCAGAAACTTCTGAGCACCAATGCCCAGATTGGTCGACGAGTTGCTGCTCACCATTTGAAAGTATACACTTATGGCATGCGCAACAAAATGGTTATGTTTGATTCTGATAAGACCTTAATTTGTATGCGCAGTGCCCTCAACTTCATTGGGTCCCTTGCTCGGCAAAGGGCTCGATTTATGTTCGTCAATACCAACCCTTTGTTCGATGAAATCTTTGAGCAAATGACGAAGAAAATTGGTTGCTACAGCCCCAGTGTGAATGCCCTTTGGCGCACTGGTGGGTTCTTGACCAATAGTAATAGCCCCAAGAAGTTTCGGTCCCGGAGCAAGAGGCTCAGCTTTGGTCCTACTCAGCCACCTGATTGTCTTGTTATTGTGGACACTGAAAGGAAATCAACGGTTATAAAAGAGGCTTATAAACTGCAGATTCCGATTGTAGCTTTGGTTGACTCTGGCATGCCGTTGGAATTTTACAAGCGAATTGCATATCCTATTCCTGCTAATGATTCCGTGCAATTTGTTTACATGTTCTGTAATTTGATAACCAAAACATTATTGCTTGAGCAGAAGAAGTTATCCAGCACTGAAGATGAGTTCTCTAGTCAACAAGCTCGGTATGACATGGCATTAAGACTGTTTTACTTTTTATTTGTATGTTCATAATTCTGCTTTGGCTGAAGTAATTTTCAAAATTTTGGCTGGCCTTTCATTAACTACGGTTAAAAGAGAAGCCAAGAGAATCAAAGAGAAGAAAAGAAAGATTAAGTTTACAAAGGGCGAATTGGCTGTTGTCCCCTATGCTGATATAACACTTGTTTCTGAAGGTAAAGTGTATGCTGACTGGTCATTGGTTTTTATTTGTCATAACATTGTAATGATCTCTTTTGAAAATAGAACTGAGGAATTCTTGCTTCAAAAGCAGACATAGAAGAGACTAAGAAGCTTTTGGACAAGCTTGTTGTTGTGAAGCTCAATGCTGGATTGGGAACAAAGATGATGGCTTTGGATATCCCAAAGTAAGCATTTCTAATTCTTCAAATTTAGTGTCTACCTGAATTGAATAAATCTGTTTCCATATTTTCGTATTTTAAATAAAATGATGCCTTTTTTTTCCATTTATTTTTCACTCATATATAGTTTTGTTGTGATAATACAGAAGAATCTCATTTATAGTTGCCTGGGTTATAGGGTTTTTCCAGATGGTTTTATCATTTATCATTTTTTTTTTGGTCGTTCCTCCTCTTGCTGCTTTCTATTTATTTTTCATTGACTTATGATGTATTTACGCATTGGTATTTGCATGCATGAATGTATGCTTTTGTGTTATATTATCTTCAATATTTCAAATTCTTCTGTGCACTATTGCCTACATGATTCTCATCTTACCTTAAATTTTCAATTTTCAATTTCCTTCTAGATATTTCTTACTCATTAGTCCTCTTATGGTCGAGCCAATGAAACTTCTCTGCTCTCATGTAGATCTGCTGTTAATGTCAGTGATGGGCTGACCTTTCTGGACTTAATCATCAACCAGATTGAGGTTTGAAATTTTCACGAAATATACAATTACCCTTATCTGGTTAATCATGGCTCTGACTATATGGCTGTTGGTACTGTTTGTAGACTCTTAATGCCAAATATGAATGTGGAGTTCCCTTGGTTCTTTTGAACACATCTGACATACATGATAATACTTTAAAGGTGAATTGCTTTTTGAGTTTCCATTTTTATTATTTGACATTTACTATTACTAAAATTTACTTTTGCATTTTGTGTAGATCTTGGAAAAGTATTCAACTTCAAGCATCAACATACAAGCTTTTAAGCAGGTCTGCTTTAGTTTTCTTTGCTTTTTCTTTTTCTGAATAAATTGATGTTGGATGTCACCTCATAATTTGTATATCATAATCTGTGCAGGATCAAGGCTCAGAAGTAATATTATCTGGTGACCATTTGGGCAAGGGGGAAGTGTATGTTATTCTTCAAATACCTGTTGCTTCAATTCAAATCTATACATTTATTTGTGTGGTTGTGGGGTCTTGAAATTTTCAGGACTGGTTGGTACATTTACACACATACACTGCCACAGTGTAGATTATAGAATCTAATCAATTTTCATTTGGTTGATTTTTAATTTTGTTCGATAGCCACAATAGTTTGAGGAGGTATGATGGAAACTGTAGTTGATGTAAATTATCTTTGCAATTTGGATTTGCCACTGAGTATTAACAATATTATTAACAAGTCTAGTTAATATATGTTTGCACTTTGGTAACGCCAAAATACTATTATAATTATAAGTTATAAATTATAGAAAGAGAAGAAGAGTGAACGGTTGACCAAGTTCATATGATCAATTTCAATATCTGTTCTCTTTTTTTCGGCCATAAAAATCTCTATGCTTGTTGTATCCCTAAATTACCCAATGCTAGAGGCTCCAAAGACTTGATCTTTTAGAAGAAATGGATGGATATAATTCAATCACTAAACATTCCAGTTTTTACAATTTTGCTTTATTCTTGGGGAGATCTTGACTACATAGCATAGTGTCTTGGTCCTTGATATGTGTGTTAAGAGTCACACATGAAAGTGTCAACAAGTTTTAAACCAGAATCAAGTGGTGGCAGTTAAAGGGAGAAACAGCTAACTCTTAAACGAAAGCTGTTGGAGGAAGGTGATTGGTTGTCATAGGAAGTGCTAATTGGGCGAATAAATAAGTTTTGACCTAAAGATAAGGAATCTTTGTCTGAAAAGAGTGTGAAAGAAAAAGTAAAATGCAAAATGGAGTGTTTTGAAGCCTTGTGCAACGATGCCGAAAATTGGGAAAGGCATCGAAAAAACAATGAAGACCAAGAAGAAAGCAGTGAGGAAAGTGTGATCCAAAGCATTTGAGTAGTTTTGCCAAAATTTAGGAACAAAGAATGGAGAATGAAATATTTATAACATTGTAAATGATATGGAAAGGAAATCAAAAGATTTGGATCATGTCAGATGTATTAAAGATAAAGAAGGAAATGTTCTAGTTAGAGATGAAGCTATTAAAGATTGGTAGGAGGGCTATTTCTACAATCTTTTCATGATGGATTAGGGACTGCTAAAGATATGGAAGACTTGACAATTCATGGAAGTGAACAGAATTTGGCTTTCTACTAAAGAATTTGAGCAGGAGTGGTCAAAGAAGCTCTTAAGAAAAATGGACAATGGAAAAGCTTTTGGTCTTGATGGTATTCCTAACAAGGTGTGGAAGTGTTTTGGATAGAAGGGTATTCTTTGGGTCACATGTTAAGGTCAAAGAAAATGTTAGATGAATGGAATACTTTGGTGTCTATATGCAAAAATAAAGGGGATATCTATAACCATGCAAGCTATGAAAAGATGATCTTATGGGTTGGATTACGAAATTATGGGAAAGAGTAATTGAGCATGTATTAAGTGAGATGCCTATCTTGGAGAATCAATTCGGATTTATGCCAAGATGATCTAGAGCAGAGGCTATTTATCTCTTAAGGGGCTTGATGGAGAAGTCTTGGAATAAATGAAAAGACTTTCATGTGGTTTTTATCGACATGGAAAAAGCTTATGATCTAGTACCAAGAGATATGCTTTGGAAAGTTCTTGAAAAGAAAGGAATTCGTGTTGCTTATATTAAAGCTATAAAGGTCATGTATAAAGGGGCAACAATTAGTATGTGAATGCTTGGAAATAATGCAAAGGACTTCCTTATAGGAATTGGTTCATGTCGCGGATCATCCTTGAGTCTTGATTTGTTTGACTTGATTTTAGATGTTTTAATTGAGTCCATTCAAGAGAAAATCTCCTTGTGAATGCTCGTTGAAGATGGCATAGTTCTGATTGGGGAGTTAAGAGAAGAATTTAACTCTAAACTAGAGTTGTGGAGATGAACTTTGGAAGCAAAGGGTTTTTGCATATGCTCATTGCGAATCTTTTCTTTTATCACATAGCCACACATCTGATCTCAACATCCTCATCCCTGTATCCCATCTTTTTCTTGTTCTTGTCCCTTTACTGCCTAGCATTTACTATCTTATGGTATCATTGGGCTTCTAATGGTATGATAAACCTTTAAGCTATTGGGCAATGTTTAGGGAAAAAAAAAGGGTGCTCTAATACCATGTCAAATTTTGTATGTTTTTGCTTGGGTCTTCCTTTTCACCTAAATAACTTTAAGCTGCTTGGTTAGGATTGCTATAAGCTTATATGCCCTTCATTTTTCTTATCACTTCTAGATGTGAGACTATTGTATAACAATATATAATAAATTGGAGTAAGCCGTCACTGTTTGAAAACAGCTTGAGAATACTAACCAGCTTATTTTGTTGGGCTTTATGAATAGTTATTCATGGGAAATGAGAATAGTTCCTATTTAAAGAAAGTTTGTTTTCTTTGATTGCAATTTAACTTGCATGGAAATTAATATATCACCTTAAATTAACCTGATTTTCTGAAAACATGAAGGTGTCCTTTTGAAAATGGTGGTGCATTCCTTTCCCTGGCAGAATCAGGAACCCTTGATCTATTATTGACACAGGTATGGATTTTTATCCTGTTGCCATTGAACACTCTTCTTCCTTTGTCCTATTTCTACAAAATGTAAAACAAGCTAGAGCTGTGAACACTTGAATTAAACTACAACATGCCAGTATTATGGATGTTTCAATGTTCATGTGTGGATTGCACCCATTTTTCTATTAAATTTTGTTTTATATGGTGTTGATTAAATTTTGCATTGTTTCTTATTTCAGGGCAAGGAGTATATCCTTGTAATCAACTCAGACAATGTGGCTACTGTCATTGATCCAAGTATCCTTGGATTTTAATAATTATTACTATATTGTTGGAATCTGTGATTGCTTAACCTGTCAATGAGATTCATTCTTAATTCTGTCGACCTTGACTTCTTGTAGGCATATTAAACTATTTGCTTAACAATAAAATTGACTGTTGCATTGAGGTACACAAAGATTACTGTCCTGCATTATCCTAATGGTCTAACCTCCCTTTAAGGTTTCTGAATTTTCTAATTTTTTCCCCAGGTGACTCAAGGCCATTCATCAGATTTTCACTCACAGCTAAGGAATTTTAAGGTATATGCATAAGCGCTTGCCCATTCTAAATTCTTGGCTTTTCATGGAAACTTGTTTCCTTCCGTCTCTTTTGTAACGTTTATGTTGGGCTTGGGACTTGTAACTGTTGGAGAGAATAAGCTAGATCAATTGGACTTCACCATTTAGCGGGTGAAGGTAATATCCACAATAATTTATTTTCTTTATGATTGAGGGATACCTGTTTCAAGGTTATGTGTAGGTTTCACTTATTGAACTGAACAATTTCTTGAGCCAAGCAATACTACTACTGGTTTATTTGTAACAAATAATGCCTAGATTTTTCTTGTTCCCCAGAAATGTTTTGGGTTCCTTCTCCAATCAATTAACCTGACCCAACCTAATGCCAAATTAATCTCCATTTTGCTGACTTTCTCATTTCCTCCTTTCTTGGATTGTGATCACTTTGATAACAAAATGATGGAAACCTATAGTACAAATATATAAATGAAGCTGTGATGACAATAATAGATCTGGCTGTTGACAAGGCAAAAAAATGCAGAAAAAAGATAGACCCCCCTTCCTCTCTACCAGCTCACCCCCACCTTTCCTTGTATAAGATTTTGTACTATAGTTCCTGTGGGTCATGGGCTGATGGGCATGGGTCCACCATACTTGGAAGCTTTGGTTAACGTTACATTGGTTAACGTGACATGTTTTGTATTCCATGCAGCTTCAGGAAATTGCTCGAAATCCTGATAAACAGGTTTGCATATATATTTTAAAAAATTCTTCCGCATTTTTAGCATTATTTTTGTTTCATTTTATTTCTTAGAATTTTATATTGTGATGACTTTATGACATGAGCTGATTTTGCCCTTCTGTTTTTGGTTTATGCATTCAAGATGAAAGACCAATTTAAACTTATTGATACAACAAACATGTGAGTCAGATCCTCATTTTACTTTACTCTCCTACCACTTATTTCCAGACTTGATAAGTTTTCAAGTATCCTATTGTTGGGTAGGTGGGTGAACTTAAGAGCCATTAAGAGACTTGTAGACACTGATAAACTTAAGTACAACAATCAATCAGTTTTGAAGGTACGGTTCTTTGACTACTGCTGTCCTTCTATGAAGATTGATCAGAATGAATTGAGGGGCTATTGTTTGCAGGAAAATGACATTGACCAAAGTCTTTTACAAACAACAGCGGCTGGATCAACAATACAGGTTTATGTGTTGTTTTTGTTGCTCTATGGTTTCATTGTATTTTGTTCTTGCCTGTTTATGTTTTGCTTGGATTTAAAGTATGACTATTCCTTTAATGTCCATTTTGTTTTAATCATTTTCATTTCAAATAGGCACTAGATAGGCAATTGGAACTGTTTTATATACTTGCACATTTATAATTATGGACAGACATTTTGTCCATATACCCTCAATTTATTCCATATCATAGCGTTTTTTTGAACAGAAGTATGATCTTGGATGATGTAGGTAGAATGTGATGGATTATATAGACCCAATATATTGTAAAATGGTTCTATGCTTCTGATTTTATATCGAAAGAGCAGTTTAACAATCATGTATAGAAATATTTTTACCAATCATGGATAGAAATATATTGCATACTCATGAGGATTTTTTATTTGAACGAACAAATATTTAAAGGGATGTGATAAAAACAATTGATAACTGCAGAATGAAAAAATGGTGCCTGTCTCCTTTTCTTAGAGTGTATAAGTTAATAATGGCAAGGATAAGAAACAAGCTTGTGCTACCTCTCTTCAACCTTGATACATCTTTTGACATCTTTTGGATTGCTTTCCTTAGGTCATTCCTGGACTACATTGATATATTAAGTCATGACAAAATATGTTAGGTTGTTATGAAGGTTTGCACTTGTATAGCCCTGCTAGTCAGTTAGCCTATGTATTGTTCCATATATATCCATGTACTTTTATATTAATGATTAATAAAATTCTTTGCTCATCTCTATTCTGCTTTCTCTCTCTGATAAGGTCCAAGTTAGACTGCTTGAATTCATTATCATTAGGTGATCAGTAAATGTTTTCAGTATTGGCGCACTAAATGCCACACTTCCATTGTTTGATATGATGTCTGCAACTTTCATTGGCATAACTTTACCTGGTGGGAAGGAGAATATATATATATATTTGTCATTTAAGCAGTTAATTATTGCTGTTCCTGACATTGTTATCTCTTCTGTTTGTATGATAGTTCTTTGAACGTGCAATTGGTGTCAGTGTACCTGAATCACGTTATCTTCCATTAAATACAACGACAGATTTGCTCCTTATACAGGTTACATTGGCTTTATCTGTTTATATTTCCTATTACAGCAAAGCGATATATTGGGTCTTTGGCAGACTACTCTCACCACTTTCATACTCATGCAGTCAGATTTATACACTTCTAAAGAAGGCGTTTTAACTCGTAATCCAAACAGAGCTGATCCTATAGATCCTGAAATTCACTTGGGACCTGAATTTGAAAAGGTCTGAATCTATTAATCTTTCTGTCGTGATGACCTATTATTTTCTTTTGTTATGAATTGTATATATTGTCTTCTTTCCCAGGTTGGAGACTTCCAAAGTCGGTTTAAATCCATCCCCAGCATTGTTGGGTTGGATAGTTTGACAGTGACAGGTGATGTGTGGTTTGGAGATAATATTACCTTAAAGGTATGATTGATGTCACCCTTTTGATACACTCTGCTATCAGACATTGTTTTCAGAACCGGACCGGATATTGAACCAGAAAGGTCAGCAGTTCACGGTTCGCATGGTTCAACCGGGGTTGGACCAATGGTCAAACTGGTGACGTAATAAGTAAATTAAAAAAAATTATATTGTATATAATAATCTAAATATAAAAAATACATATGATTTCTACTTAACTTAAAAAAATCAAATATTTTAAGTTTATCATGACTTAACAAATCACATGATACAACATAATATCAAATGATTAAAAAAATTAGTCATTTTTTAAAAAAATGTGATAAAAAATAAAAAAAAGTTTTTTTTAATAGTCCCGGTTTTTGAAAACCAGGTCCGATTCCCAGTCTGACCGCCGGTTTGAAATGGCCCAACTCGGCTCAACCCACCCTAAAACAAATTTTCTCATATGAACCAAACCAGAATCTAGACCGGTCTGACCGTCCGGTTCAGTCCGGTTTTAAAAACACTGCTATTAGAGTCAACTCTGTTTAATATCCTTTATACTATTAAATACATAAATAGGGGGTGTGAGGCAGATAGCAGGAATGAACCCACATCTTCTCTTTGGCAGAGAGAAATTTTACCATTTGACTATATCTGCATTTTTTATCCTTGATACGTAATATATTGATCCTATTTGTGGTTCATGCACCATTTCTTATAAACCCTCTAGTCCTATTTATACGCACAGAGGGAGAGAGAGAAAAATTGATCCTGGTTATAGGACACTTGTTAATTTTCAAGGTTCCTCTTTATGTTTTGCCCTTATGAAATGCTTTGAATAAAAATACCAGTAATGAAATTTAAGACATTTATTAGGGGTAAAGATGAAAATTTATTAATTTTAAGATTAATTTAATACGGTTTAAGATTTTTCTTGGTTCCGGTGAAACATGCTGGAAAGTGACTTATAAATAGGATTAGAGGGAGTAGTTGCGAGATGTATTTGCTTAGAACTTTGGAGAACTGTGCAGAGATATTTTCTTTATTT